ATAAAGTTTGATTGATTGATTGATTGACTTCAAGTTGTCAAGTTCAAGAAAACTGTAAAGAGTGCGGTGCCCGGGACGTGTGTGTGTTTTTCCTGAGATGCAAATGGTTTTGTAATGTGATATTTTAAGATTTTACTGTTTTGTTTTGATTGTGTGGCCGCTACCTCGGCCAGGTCTCTGTTGAAAAAAAGATTCTGAACTCAATAGGACCTCCTGGTTAAATAAAGGTAAAAAAAATAAAAATAAATTAAATAAAAATAATTTCCAAAGCTCAAAATGCTCTGCTGCACCTTATGATGTCATGAAGTGGTAGTTTTCAAGTCAACAACTGCTTTTAACTTTTTGTTCAGAAAAGATAGGCAATTCCAAGACTGAAATTATCCAAATGGTTCCAGTGAAGTGTATTGTATGGAGTTTAAAAACACAGTGGAGCACTTCCTGTATTACCACATAATAATAATAAATCTATAAAAAGCATAAAAATAGCAAACAGAAAACATACGAAAACAGACAATGATACAAACAATCCAATTAATTATAATAAATAAAAGAAAATAAGGAATAAAATCAAGCTGAATCTAATTAAAGGAAGGCCAAGCGAATAAAAATGTTTTTAGAAGTGATTTAAAAGATCCGACTGATGGTGTGAGTCTTATCTCCTCACACAGGTCGTTCCAAAGCCGAGGCGCCCGGACTGAAAAGGCTCGATCCTTCGTCCGGAGCCTGGACTTTGGAACAGTCACAGGGACCTGGCTACTTTTACACTGAAACGAATCACCGTATCACTGTATCGGAAATGATTTGCATCCAGACACATCGTTTCTGTGTCCACAATCAAAGCAAACCTATCCACACAGCTTTGAGCATATTTGTTTACATTTTACAGAAACTAAACTTAAAACCACACGGCTCATTTGCATAAACTGAGCCTCAAAAAACAGCTCTCTCCTTGTGCGCTGATACGGTTCAGCTTCTGTCGCACTAAAGGGCACGACTCAGTGGAATATGAGTGTTCTTTCTGTGTCTGAGGGGTGTCCTGCTGATGGTGAGTCTGTTCTGTGCGAGTAGTTCTAACTCCGCTGTTTCCCGTTTGTCTATCCTTTGTTTAAACTGTTTTCCGCAATAGCTTCACATGACCGATGTCACGAACCCAGCAAATCAGGAAGGTGCAAATCACAGTGACGTGGTCCAATAAGGATGACAACTAGAGCTCCTACGTCAGCGTATCAGCGTTTTCAGGCTTCCACAGGGTGCCGGATCAAATCTGTTGACTTTGTGGGAGCTGGCGGCACCAGATCGTTCCGTCTCTGGAGTCGTTTTCCATCGGATTAGTGTGAACGAACACTGCATCCACAACGAAAACTACTCGAATACAAACTAGTGTGGACGGGGTCTAAAGCTTCTGAAAAGTTCTGAAATGTAACTTGGTGCAAGACTTAAATGAGCTTTAAACGTGATCAGTAAAATCTTAAAATTGATTCTAAAACACACAGGAGCCAGTTAAGGGAAGCAAAACAGGTGAAATGTGATGATGTTTGTTAAACTTAGTGAGGAGCTGGCGGGAGGCGGGAGATGGGTTTGGAGTTAAGGCCGGAGAGGAGTAGTCTAGACAGGAAAAGATGAGCGTGTGGATGACTTTTTCAAAATCAGAGCCAAAAATTGGAAGAACTCATGTTAAATCTGCAGGATTTGTGAGTTAAACATGTGTGAATGAAACAACACACAACTCCAGGTCTGTTTGTGATGAGGAAACGACATTATAACACAGATCAGAATCAGGAAATATAATAGAGGTGACTAAAAAGTGCCTGTTTTTCCAGTGCAGCTATTTAAGTCTCGTTTTGACATTTTACCTTTTTGCTTTGTGTCTAAATTTGACAGCTTAGAGTCTGTTGTAAAAATAGAGCAGTAATGGTGCAAAAGGGAGAAATGACAGAGATTTGGTCCCAGGGGAGTTGAGGAGACAGCGGCTCTGGGGGGAGGGAGGCTCAATCTTAGACGCACACACCCTTTTTTAGTATTTTTTTCAATTAAAGGGCAAGTATTGAACTATTTCCTGACCTGTTATAATGTTGTTTCCTCATCACAAACAGACTGGAGTTGTGTTTTGTTTCATTCACACATTTAACACACAAACCCTGCAGATTTAGGCTGAGTTCTTCTCTCAAACTGAAAACACTCCCACCTTGTGACGTCATGTGGTAATACAGGAAGTGCTCCACTGCCTTTTTAAAATCCACACACCTTCACTAGAATCATTTGGATCATTTCAGACCTGGAATTTCCAATCGCAAAAGGTAAAAAGAAGCTTAAGGTTCAAGGTTCAAGGTTCTATATTTGTCATTCAAGCATGTGAGAGAAACAGCCTGTTTCATCAGCTGGTTTCATTTCGTGGAAACCAACCATGACCTTGCAGCATTAGAATTCGTTCACTTGATGGTAGACGGGATCTTTTATATTTAACCAGTCGTTGCTATTTGGTTGTGACGTATGTAACGTGCTGCTTATGGGGCGAACTGGTATATTAAGTTTTTCCCAAATCCCGTAGGAAGAAGGACAATAACGTCTTTCTCCTTGATAAAATTCACCAAACATTCTCTTTTCTTTAAATCCTCGATCTCAGAAATCGTTACCAACACAGAATGTCTGTCTTCGTCTACATCCATCCCGACGCTTTGTTTACTGTTGTGCTGAACCACACAGCTCTTCGCTGATTGGCCGGTGTGCGGTCTACAACTTCCGGGGTTCTTGCAAACTGTTTGTAGCTTATATTTTATTTATTTATTTATTTAATAGGGACAGTGCATATTAATGAACACCTACAACATTGCAGTGTAAATATGTCAGATTATAGAAAAATTTACAAATGTATTCTGTAGTCCCTCGGCAAGTAACACCACAAATTTAACAGAAAAAACAAAAACAAGTGACAGTTCTAAACTAAAAGTGTCCACAAGTCTGGTTTTCCTTTAGCTGCTGTTTCAAGTGGGATTTGAAGGTGGCCAGTGTTGGAGTTTCTCTTATTGATAGTGGCAGATTGTTCCAAAATGTTGTGCCTCTGACTGAGACACAGTTTGTCCGAATGTGATGTGTCTGTGTGGAGCTCACAGTTTCCCCTGGGCTGTGGACCTAGTTCCCACTGACAGTCTTTACTTTAATAAAATCCAGTAACGGAGGGGGGGGACAAGCCCATACAAAACGTACAGATAAAACATCCATATTTAAAATCAACAAAATTATTAAAATTAAGCAGGTTGTACTTGTCTAAAATAGTGCAGTGGTGAAATGAGAGTGGTTTCTTGTCCAATATTTTTATGGCTTTTTAAAAAAGTGATTCGATGGGTTTGAGTGTTGTGCGAGCAGCGAGTGACCGAGTGGTTCTGCAGAACTTTATAGGAGACAGATTCATGGAGTGTAAAAACATTCTACGTTAACAGCTACAGTACATTTTAACTTTAATTCAGCAGAGATTGGCAATTCCAGGGCTGAAATTATCCAAATGATTCTAGCGAAGATGCGTGGAGTTTTAAAACACAGCGAAGCACTTCCTGTATTACCACATGACATCACAAAGTGTAACAGAGTGAATTCTGTTTGAGAGAAGAACAAAACTCCGATAAATATGCAGGGTTTGTGTGTTAAACGTGCGAGAAAGAAACATTTCTTTCTGAAATATCACAAAATGTAGAGATGTGACCTTTTCTAACAAAAACATAAATGAAAAAAAAAGAAAAAGAAAATATGGACCCTTTAATGCGATACTGTGGAACATTTGGACAAGCAGGTGGCGTTTTGTCCTTCCACCCGAAAAGTTATCAGGAAATCTCTTCTTGAATAGCTGTATATTGTGTTTGTGAGAGTTTGATTGGTGTGAGAGACGCGACTTCGAAACCTCCCACACTGAAAAAATGGTCCGAGAGGGGTTGCTCAAATTGCAAAGACAAATTTGACCACATTTACATTTCTCTGTGCAGCATGTTTAAATCTTACAAAGGTCGCTTGATTGTGGCCGATGTGAGACCTGCATGTTTTAATCAGGTTGAGGAAGCATGACTTTGTGAGGCTCCTTCCAGAGTCTTCAAACAAAGAGTGACGTCCAGAGCTCTGCTGGAGCTGTGGGGAAGTTCATGAATGTTACAGTTGATGTTTCAGGAAAAAGGAAGATGTTTGAGAACCAACAAAACACAGACCACACATGAACAAAGTAAGTAAACCAACTAAAATTATTTTAAAAGAATTTTTCAAGTGTACTTCCTATTGAAACAGTTATCATGTTTCTACAGGGTGATGTGGCACTAGGAGACTTTATACCAGATGCCCTCCCTGTTTAGAGGAAGAAAAGCAGCACACGGTGAGTTTTGTTTCTGCAGATACAGTTCTAATGTTCTTGTGATTCTGTTCTGGTCCATTATTGTAGTAATAAATGCTTTAAGTGTATTTAAACATGTAGTAGATCATCAGACATCATGTGTAAACAGAGTCGTAAATCTTCACTGTCCAACTTGTCACAGTGTCTTGAAAACTTGTGACTGATGTTGTATTAAATAAAGAAAACATAATTTCAAAGAAACATTTCATGCAAATTTGCATCAGCAAATCATTTTCGCAAATATTTTTTGCATCATTTGAATCGTTCATCAAGGCGAGCACAACGCGCTCAGCGTAATTCTCGCGCGAAACACGCGACCTTTTTCTCTCAAGCGCACGCTGCGCGTAAAAAGCGCTCGTCCATGACCGCGCGCGTGTCCATGTGTCCAACCCACTGATCTTTTGTAGTCGGTAATCTTATCAGAGTCAACCCGGAGCTGGCCTCTCCTCCTCGGCAAGTTCTGTCTGGATGTGGATGGCGATTTTTGCACCAAGGAGCGATTTTTTTGGTTTATTTCGTTAAAACTTCATCGGTAACGGAGCCTTACGAGCAGCTCAGCGTGACCGGTGCGTGATTCTGCGGGTTGTAAAATGAACTTTTGATGCGTAAACTGTTGGAGAACGGAAGACAAATGGAAGTTACGTGTAAAGAACGGACTCTTTTGTACTTGCTGCTGTTCGCGATATGTTCGAGCGGCGTGAGCTTCGGGGCGCGGAGGTCCAACGTGCGGAGGTCCGGTGAGTACAAAGACTGGCGTTAAATACGGTTCATGCGGAGCTAATTTACGCTACATTGCATTTAATTAGCCAAAACAACAACAACAACAGAACAATAAGTAAATAAAAATAAGGGGTGTGGTTGTTTCTCAGTGCAGTGTTTGTATGTGTGTATTTACATTTTAGGGTTGTCAAAACACATTTGCATTTACATATTTTCTGTTCCCTTATATCAGACATGTCAAACTCAGGCCCAGGAGCCAAATTTGGCCCACCAAAATTAAAAACTGGGACTAAGCCGTGGAACAAACTAAATATTTATTGAAAAATGTCAACAGCGTCTGCATGTTTTCTCTTCTTTCGAGATTTGTCATGTAATGTAATAAAAAAACATGACTGAACCAGAGCTGACAAAACCAGGACTAAACCAAAACTAAAGCACGTCTAAACCGAGACTGAACCAAGACCAAACCAGGACTAAACCAGGACTAAACCAGGACTAAACCAGGACTAAACCAGGACTAAACCTGGACTAAACCAAGGACTAAACCAGGACTAAACCAGGACTAAACCAGGACTAAATTAGGACCTGACGGACCTGCTTTCGACCTGGTTTAGACCTGGTTTAGACCTGGTTTAGACCTGACTCAGACCTGTTTTAGATCTGTTTTAGACCTGATTGAGACCTGGTTTAGTCCTGGTTTAGACCTATTTTAAATCAGGACTGAACCAGGACCAAACCAGGACTGAAGCATGACTAAACCAGGAATGAATCAGGACTTAAACAAAGTAAAGTAAACAAACAAACAAAAAAAGTTTAGGCACATCTCTGGTCATGGACATTGATTTGTTTTTTCTTTCACTGCATAAACCACAAACCCGTGGCCAAAAGTGATTATCTGAGTTATGTTTAGTTCTGAGTTTGCTAATTTACACTACATTGCAGTTAATTATCCATTCACAATTAAAGAAGCAGTGTGTAACATTTCTGCTGGAGGGAACAACACAAAAAAAACCCCAAAATAACAACAAACAGAAACACAAAACACAAAACAACAAGACAAAATTCGGAGACTCAGATAAACATTAAAGAGCCGTCAGTATTAAAACCAAACAGATCCCTCAGTAAAAGCAGCCTCATTGTGTTTTGAGATGAATAAATAAATCTTTCTTGAAAACATGGAGTGATGATTTGGAGCGCAGGGAGTTTTGTTAAATTGTTCCAGTCTGATGGTGCTTTGAGTCTGATGCAGGTCTTGGGCACCACAAAAGAAAGATGATCTAATTGTCTAAGTGAGTATAGTGATGGAAATGGTGAAGTATTGTTGAAGAAAGGATGGACCGAAAAGAAAAATGCATTTAAAGATGAAGTGTAGCCAAGGAAAGCTCATTCTTGCATTAGAAGTAACCAGTCCAGTGTTGGAAACAGAACAGAGTGATGAGTGAGACGTGGACACTGCAGGATGAATCACAAACTGTTGAAGGGAACATACAAAGGACGTAGGGGAGAATCAGAGGTGTTTTGATAAATAATATCAGCAAAATCAATTATGGGTAATATTAATTGGGCAGTTATTCTTTTCCTTACCAGAAGGGTGAGACACTTTGCTGAACTGTATAGCTGACTTAGAATACAATTAAATTAATTCATAGAAATTATAATTTTGTCATTTTGAGGGACTGGATACCCAGCACATTAATAACAACATAGACATAACAAAATAAAAGACTAACACTAACAAAAAAACCCCAAAAAAACAAAACAACAACAACAACAACAATAGAACAATAAGTCAATAAGTAAATAAAAATAAGGGGCATGGGCTGGGGGATTGTGTCTAATACATTGTTTCTCAGTGCAGTGTTTGTGTGTGTGTGTGTATTTACATTTTAGGGCTGTCAAAACAAATTTGCATTTACATATTTTCTGTTCCCTTATATCAAACATGTCAGACTCAGGCCCAGGGGCCGAATTTGGCCCACGAGATCAAATCAAACGTGTATTAGAGCTGGTTTGCTGGATACAGATAGACTATAGAGACATTTAAAAAATATATATTTTATATTCTGCTTGTTCTGGATTCAATGTTTAAGCAAAACTTTTATTAAACATTTATTTTAATAAGAAAAGATTTAACATTTCATATTTCGAAAGAAGAGAAAACATGGAGATGTTGAAATTTTTCAATAAATATTTAGTTTGGCCCACAACTTGTGAATTTGACCCCTGCCTTATATCTTTTTTTTTCTTTTTTGGCAACCATAAAACACACTTACACATACAGTACATTGTCCAAGCAGATACATACACACACACTTTGACATTGTTCAAAAATTAAAGATATTGTTCTTTAAATTAAAGATATGTTGCAAAAAGTTGACTCTTTTGAGCTTTAAGTTGTGTTATAATGTTGTTTCCTGCTCAAAAACAGACCTGGAGTTGTGTTTTGTTTGATTCACGTGTTTGAGTAACTCTTTATAATTAGTTTGGCTACTTCTCTCAAGCTCAAAATGCTCTGTTCCACGTTGTGATGTCATGAAGTGGCAGTTTTTCAAGATATCAGCTACATTTTATCTTTAGTTCAGTAGAGAAATGATTCTAGTGAAGGTGTATGGAGTTAAAAAACACAGTGGAGCATTTCCTGTGTTGAGTGTTTTCAATTTGAGAGAAAAACTCGGCCTAAATCTGCAGAGTTTGTGTGTTAAACATGTGGGAATGAAACAAAACACAACTCTGCGTCTGTTTGTGACGAGGAAACAACATTATAACAGAGATCAGAACATCGCAGAGGTGAAAGTTGCGTCTTTATTGTCCTATTTTCTAATATTATGTCAAGCTTTTCTATTATTTATTCATGCTTCCTCTCAAATGTCCAACCGGGTTTCTTGCCAAGTGTGTCAGGATTAAAAATATGTGAAATCGTTTACTGGTGGTTACAGTGAAGAGTCCAAAATAGTGGTGACCTCTTTGCAGTGTTGGTTTTAGAACACGCAGCAGATGTTGATGAAATCTGAAGTGGGATGAGTTGAAAAAAACATAAAAAGAAGATGTATCGTTTGAGATTTTTTAATAAACTTTTTGTGTTTACGTTTTGCCATTTTTTATATTTAGTTGTTTGTTGTAAAGAGAGAGAGAGCTCAGTTAAAGATGCACTGTGTAACTTTTTGGTTGGGTCTGTCACCTGAACCGAACTTTTGTGCCGGATACGGACTAAACCAGGACTAAACCAGGACTAAACGAGGACTAAACCAGGACTGAAACCAGGACTAAACCAGGTCTAAACCAGGATGAAACCAGGACTAAACCAGGACTGAACCAGGACTAAAGCAAGATTGAACAAGGTCTAAGTCAGGACTAAACCAGAACTAAACCCGGACTAAACCAGGTCTAAACCAGGTCTAAACCAGGACTGAACCAGGACTGAATCAGGTCTAAACCAGGATCTAAACCAGGACTAAACCAGGACTGAACCAGGACTAAAGCAAGATTGAACAAGGTCTAAGTCAGGACTAAACCAGAACTGAACCCGGACTAAACCAGGTCTAAACCAGGTCTAAACTAGGACTAAACCAGGACTAAACCAGGACTAAACCAGGTCTAAACCAAAACTGAACCAGGAAGGAACCAGGACTGAACCAGGTTTAAACCAGGACTAAACCAGGTCTAAATTAGGGAGGAACCAGGAAGGAACCCGGAGTAAACCAGAACTGAACCAGGACTAAACCTGGATTAAACCAGGACTAAACCAGGACTAAACCAGGACTAAACCAGGTCTAAACCAGGACTGAACCCGGACTAAACCAGGACTAAACCAGGACTAAATCAGGACTAAACCAGGACTAAACCAAGATTGAACCAGGTCTAAGCCAGGACTGAACCAGGACTGAACCTGGACTAAACCAGGACGAAACCAGAACTAAACCAGGTCTAAACCAGGACTGAACCAGGACTAAACCAAGATTGAAACCAGGACTGAACCAGGTCTAAACTAGGACTGAACCAGGACTGAACCAGGACTAATCTTGGACTAGGACTTGTTACTGCCCCTGAGAGAACCCTGAGCCTGTGAAGAAGGTTCCGGCTTCGATCCCCGAGTCGCCCGGGCCTTTCTGTGTGGAGTTTGCATGTTTCTCCTCGTGTCTGGACGGGTTTCCTCCGGACGCTCCGGGTTCCCCCATCAACCCAGAACACGCTCCAGGTCTCCAAGAACAGTTGATAGTCAAGATCAGTTAAATACAATCAATCAGTGAACCTGCCCAGGGACGACAGGTGGAAATTCGCACTGATGCTACAACCTGAAGTTCAAAGCATCTCTCCTGTTAGGGTTAATGTAAAAATAGTGCGGTGTCCCTGTCTCAAATAAATAAACAACAGTCTAAGCACGGCAGCGTATCGCCGACGCTCACATGTAAGAAAAGAAGGTATGTATGTATGTATTCTAGTCTCAGCCTCGCCAGATCCTCAGTCTTCTCTGCTCAGCATGAAGTCTGGAGGAGTACTGACGTTTTCGACCATTTTTATATACGAGTTTCCCTACACGCTGCCAATACGCCGTTATACAGTAACTATCTTGGTCCGGGGCCGTATCCAAACTACTCTGATCCCAAAGGGGCCCTGAAAAAAAATAATGGCATATATATAGTCCAAAAATAACAATAAGTTCAAATATTTGTGCAGAGAAACGCAAATCTATTACAGAAATCTTTTTTAATTGATGAACTCTTTCTTTTACAAAATATTATAATATTATGAACAACCTGAAACCGGAATAAGTCAGTTTTTCTTGGAAAATCCTGCACTCGGCTCCACTTTTCTCATGTTGGACATTTTTCTGATGAGGGTGTCACGGTCAACAGTCAAAACGATCGTCCTTTAAGAGCGTTTGGAAAGAGACAAGTCTTCATTTGTGCTGCTCTGGTGGGAGGGGCCACGTACAGAGACACTGGAGACGCTGCTGTGATAAACACCACAGAAAATTAACAATATTTTAATAGAAAATATAATTCAGATATTTTAGTAG